CACAATCGTGACGGATCCAGCACCTTCTGGAAGGTGCTCAGCATCCTTGGGACGGATCCAGCACCCTCTGGAAGGCGCTCAGCACCATCTCGAGGGTGCAGGATGAGTCCCGCGGTTGCAGGATAAGTCCTGAGCGTGCTCAGCACCATACCGTGGGTGCTCAGCGCCGTCTCGAGGGTGCTCAGCACCATCCCGAGGATGCAGGATGAGTACCGAGGGTGCTCAGCACGCTCGGGACTCATCCTGTACCTTCTGGAAGGCGCTCAGCACCCTCGGGACCTTTGATCCTGTTCCCTTTGATCCCATTACCTTTTTTCCCAATTTCCGTTTCTCCCATAATTCCCTTTTTTTTCTTTATTCCTGGTTTGTTGTTTTCTTTCCCGGTTTTTTTTTTCTCCCGATTTCCAGTGTTTTTTTCTTTATTCCCGTTTTTTCCCCCAGTTCCCGATTTTCCCCCAATTCCCGTTTATTTATTGTGCCGGTGTTAGCAGCGGGGCAGAGACAGGCGGGGGCCGTGTGCCGGCGTCGGGCGGCTGCGGTGGTGGACGCGGGGACGTGAAGACGCACGGCGGGGACCGGACAGCGGCTGGGCCGGGCGGTGGCAGAGGCGACGCGGCTGTCAGCAGTTGTAGAGCCGGGGCCCCGTGCCCGTCCTTGCTCTCCCCCCCGCGGCTTGAGAGGCCGGTACGGAGGGCGGTGGAAAAGCTGCGGCTGCGAGCGGGCACGGGGCAGCCGCGGGCGGCGGCAGGAGCATCGGCGATAGAACCTGTGACTGCGCATGCGTGGATGACGTCAGCGCCGCAGGGCAGCATGGGGGAGTGGTGTGGGACGGCGCGACTTCCGAATGGGCCCCGGCGGCACCGCTGAGAGCGGCGTCGCTGAACGGCGGCGGCGGCGGCGGGAACGGCGACTGCACGGCTGCCGGGAAAGCGGAGCCCGCGGGGCGCCATAGGCGGCGCGGGCGGCACGGAGCGGCTGTAGGGGAGCGGAGCGTGCCGGAACTGGGGTAGGAGTAACGAGGGCCGCGCGGTCGAGGGGCGGGGGCGCGCCGCTCTAAGCGGGCGGGAAGGGAGGGACGCCTGTGGGGACAGAGGGAACGGGGGCCGTGAGGGCAGAGCCGGGGGCGGGCAGGGCGGGGATTGCGACACCGGTGACGAGGCTGGGGGGGGTGTGGAACACGGAGCGGGGAGCTCGCCGGTTGCCACGTCGGAGACGGGAGAGGGATGAGGATGGGGAAGGGGAGGGGGCGCCGCGGGATCCGCCGTGGGGTTTGGGGACAAAGGAACAGAGTTGGTCAGTTCTGCAGATGTGATCTGAATTTCAGAGCTGCCTTTCGTGCCTGCTGACTGTGCGAGTGTGCTGCCTCTCCCTGATGAATTAATCTTGATCTGTGGTGTCATAAAATACGCTCTTCTGATTTTATTATATTCATCTAAGGTTGTATTTCTTCTTAACTTTAGATTTCTCGTTAACGTGAGATGAAAGCGGAAATATCTGCTCTGTGTTTTCAAGATGCAGACGGTCCCTGTACAGCTCAGTTTGGGTGTGTGGTTTGCCTCATCTTCTCACAAAAACATGTTGAAAGGGCAGGAATAGTGAATGAGTTATAATAAGCAAACTACTCTCTGCTGTGAGAGTAAATTAAAAACTTGCAGTATCTTTGTCTAAATTGCAAACTAACCAGCGAATCTTGTACTTGGGAGACTTGAATTAAGGGCTTTATTCCTCCTGTTATTTAAAATCTGATGATGATTCTGATTTCTCTGCTTTTTCATGTCTGTGAGGGACCAATAAGGCTACCGAGTCACAGACTGAGAAGTAGCTGTAATGATTCAAATGACCTAAACCTAAGGAGAGAATACTGAAGTGTTCAAAAGAGAACCCAAACCTTTCCAGCTGATGAGCTCTGAGGAAATATTAGCTGATCGTTCCATTGTGGCTCATTTATTTAAATCAGATCCTGGTGTCTTCTGTAGTGTGGCCAGCACTTGTCAGCAGCCATTTAGTGTGATATATTGGTGGCAAACTTCTTGTCAGGATGCTGGTTGACAGCAGCAGTAAAAACTGTTGAACGTAGCAAAGAGATTTAAAAATGCTCAAGTGTTTTTTAAAATGCTTGTCAGGTACCTTTCTGTGGCTGTGTCACACCTAATGGGCTGTAAAGATGTCACTATAAATCAGTGCTGAAAATGGGACTGGGTACTAAATGCAGGGGTATAAGGAAGGGCAGAGAGAAGAGATCCTTGGAAGGCATTTTGGAAAACTGCTGTGAGGCCAGGAGGCCTTCGGTTCATCCCCAGTGATGCCACGGTTGGCTTAGTCCTGCCCAGCAGCGACAATCCAAGTGTTACATGGACAGTTTTTCTCCCAGCTTCTCTGCCCCAGGAGGCCCACTCCCAACAGGAGGAGATGAAAAGAAGCCTGGACTTCTTTTTGAGAAGGAAATTTTAGGAGGCTCTGTGCCAGCTAAATCCCTGGCTCAGCTGAGGGTTCACGGGGCAGCCTGCCTTGGATCAGAACCAGCCAAAACCGAGTCCTCATGCCTAAATATGTCCTGCTTCCCGTAGTTTTTCCCTGCCTTGCTCTTTCTGCTGCACATTTCCTCCCTGTTGTTCGTTTTCCAGGGACAAGAATTAGTTCCTTCAGCCAGGCAGACTTGGCCTCTGGCAGCATCCAGTACATCCACACCAGTGAGGAGGAAAAGCACACGGATGCCTTCACCTTTTCTGTGTCTGATGGGACAAACGAGGTCAGTCCCAGCCTGACTTTTGCCTGAGTGGGCAGATGTGGCTGTTCCTCCTTCTCCTGCTGTGGGATTTCCCACATCGCTCAGGTCAGGGAGGGAGGAAGGCCTGTGCAGGGAACAGGGAGCCACCTGCCCTGTGGGCTCACCAAGAGCTGGGTGCCTGGTTTTCAGCTGCTTGCCAACTGTTGCTGGAGCTCAGCTTTGATCCAGTGCACTGACAGCGTAGTGACGACAGCCAGCCCCTGGAGAAATGCCTTTTTCCTGCTTTCTGAAAGAGAAGAAGTCTAGCTGCACATAGAGGGAGAGGAGCAAAACTGAGTGAGAGAGGGAGGGAAAGTGGATGTCCGTAAATATCACAGAAAGAGGGAGAATTAATGAGTGGGGAGGGATAAAGAAGTGATCTGGGCTTAGCAGCTCAGACAAGGCTGAAATGAAGAGACCCAAACTGGGGATCGCTGTGCTCTTGCGGTGAAGTCACACTCTTGGAAGGCTGAATTTGGCAAGGGAAGCTTTTCTTCCTGTCCCAGGTGAGCCAGACATTTGACATCACCATAAACCCCGTGGATGACTCCTTGCCCATCGTGCAAATCTTTGGGATGACAGTTCAGGAAGGGGTGAGAAAAACCATCACGGAGTTTGAGCTCAAAGCGACAGATGCTGACACAGAGGTAAGGCAGGACCACCCCCAGCCTCCTTGCTCCCCTCTTGTGCTGCACATCTGGGCTTGTGTTTAAAGACTTAATGCTGAATTTATGCTCAGCATGGATGGAAATGGCACTTCCTCTTCTTCCTGGGTCTGGCCAGAGGCTGAGCTGTCGAACACTGGCTCTATCTCACTGCTGTTTCCCCTGCAGCGAGAGATCTGGCTGCCTGAGCCAAAATCCTGCCCCCAAGGTTTTTGCCCTGGCAGAAGTGGCAAGGGACACACTGCCCGGAATGGCTGCAGGACTGGGGGCTGCTCTTGTGTTCGTGGAGCAGGCACAGGGGTGGGTGGGAGCTGTCTCAGACCAGCTGAAGCAGGAATTCGGTGGGATGTGCCTTGTTTTATAGGGAGACACCTACAAAACAAAATCCCTTGGGAGAGGGACAAGGACAGGGCGGGGCTCAGGGGGAACCAGGAATGTTCTGTGCTAACCCTTGTGTTGGGAACACCAACGCAGGGGAGCTGCCTGGCCAGAATCCCTGTCCGGGCCTCCTGAGCTGGAAGGGCAGTGTCCTGAGGTCGTGTCCCCAGCTTTGCCCCTCCATGTCCGGGCACAGGTGGAGTCCCTGACGTTCGGGGCGGTGCAGCCGCCCCGGCACGGGCTGATGGAGCGCAGCGGCCGCGGGCAGCGTCCTCTGCAGGCCACCACCTTCACCAGGGATGACATCACATCTACCAGAAGCGCGGCAGCTGCAGGCACGGCGGCGGCAGCGCGCTCAGGGGCCGCTTCACCCTCACCGTCTCCGACGGCACCAGCCCCCTCTTCGTGGTGCAGGAGGGAGGGAAGAAGGTCAGGGAGGAGAAGGGATGGGAGGGGGCCTTGGGAGCTCACAGGGAGGTGCCTCCTCTCGGGGCAGGGGGGACTGAGATGCTGACTGAACGTTCTCGGTCACGTCTTTGCTTCTTCCCCTCCCTGCAAACTCTGCCCTTGCTGCCAGCAGAGCCGAAGGGAGCCGAGCTGGTGACGTGGTGGCTGAGGCTCTGACTCGCACAGTAACCCCCGTGTCTCTGAACTGGTGTCAGGTGGTGACG